AAATCTGAATATATTACACACAAAATTTTTAATTAAAACAATAAAAAACAATTTTAATATTCTTTACTTATTATTAACAGTAGGTATAGGAACCGGTAGTTTTAGTGGTGGACAACCGGTGAACATAGCAAACAGCATACCTCCATTATAAAACCACTCGACAGCAAACATGAATATAATAAGTGTGAGGGGTCGGGGCTTTATAAACTTAATCATAACCCCTCCCAATATAATACCGATAGCCATGGGTAGTACAGATGTGGTACCAGTGAGGAAACTGGCGCCGGAACTGGTCTGTCTGAACTGAGACTCAATATATTTGGTTTTGTTTATGAAATAACCGCCTAACCCTATATAACGAAAGGCATTCCCAATCGTATGAAACATAAATACACGGTTTGTAGCTAAACGCCTGATCACATTCACAATACCTATAATAATAAATGATTAGCAGTTTTTTAATAATGAGATTCAGTATAATATATTGTAGCGCTTNAATACACGGTTTGTAGCTAAACGCCTGATCACATTCACAATACCTATAATAATAAATGATTAGCAGTTTTTTAATAATGAGATTCAGTATAATATATTGTAGCGCTTAACAGACCACTGAAACCTTTAATATCGTTTGCATTATCCACGGCCTTAACAGTTGCTGTTTTGAGTTGTTTTGGGAATAAAAACATTGGGAGACTGACTAAGAATAATAGACCGCCAATGACTAGAAAACCAATCCACCATGCTCCTATAAATCTAGGATCTCGCTTGGAAATTCCCGGGTTAACTATAAAACATTTAATTAATTTCTAGTTGTGTTTAAATTTTATCTATAATCTGATAGTAATGCATACGAAATGGATTTTCATATAACTGTAGCGATAGTGAGGCCAATATGAAACCCCCGGCTGGACCCACGAGTCTCAGAGCAGATACTAAGCTCAAATAAAGGGCCGAATTGTTCTTGCTTACATTATCGTCAATATAAGGAAAGCCTATTACGAAATATGCCGTAAATCCCAGTCCCCTAACAAGACAGCAGAACCATAGGAGCACTACAGCCGCCCATACAGTCGAGTGCTTTCCAGTGTCGCAGTCGATGTCAGTGTGATTGGCCGCACATAACTCATAACGGGTTGTATTGCGACTCAATTGGGACAGTAAGCTATCGTCGTAGAGTAGGTGTGTGCCCGGACCATATATGAAGTATGGCAGTGCGTTCATAAAGC